CACCGACAGTGAGAAGGTTTCGTTCCTTTCAGCTACCAAGAGGATTGATGTTTGCCTTAGGAACGTCATCCGTCAAAGTTTTGTTCTTGTGGGAGCTTCAGCTAGTAACCAACAAAAGGACAAGTCAACCATGTCAGAATTACAATGGGTAAATGTGCTACTGATCAGCAGTTCTGTCAGCAAGAGTCAACAATTGTGCACAGGCCTTTGGTGTTGAAATACCTTCCTTGTGCATAGAAGTCCCAATCCAGTGATATAGTTGAAAAGGGAATATTGAATAGAGTAGGAGTCAAGCGGTTCTCTTCTTTTCACCTTTGAGTATGCAAAAGGAAGTTAACATGTGTATCTGCAAGTTACAAGAAACCCAAGAATTTCCCTTCTAACTCATCGCACTTTTGTTCTGCTCCAAAACCTGTTTGTGAGCCAGTAAAGAAAGGATTAACCAATGAAGTGACAATGGTTGGATCCATGGCGCTCGACACTATGAAATCTATCCAAAGGCAGTATCAAGGGTATTCAAGTGTAAGGAGTAACGAAAAAAATATTCGGAAGTAACATCATACAAGGAATCTCTACCCTTGGAAACCGTTAGAGAATGGTAAGCGGCAATTACACCCTAGTGGTGTGATTACGAAACAAGAATGGTTTCCATAGTTCAAGGCAACCGCTATAAATTCCAGAAAATCCTCATGAGGTTTCCCAGAAGTTGAAAAAAACAAATTGTTCTAATACATGGGTCAGAAGTATACAGAGTCAAGTTCAAAAATGTGTAGTCAAGCAGGGTATATGGCAGAGAATCCCCTTTCAACGGATCATCTTTACCGAAAATTTGAAAGCGAAGTTGTTATGACTAGAGAACAGAAACTCTCGGCAGCATCAAAGTCAGCTTCTGGCAGTCGCGCAGATTACAATATTTTTGGGAAAGCAGTTACAGGGTTTACAGTTCATCAATCTAGGAAGAGTCAGCAAAAAAATAATAATAATCGACGTGTGGGGTTATGTCATGAGAAGGACTCTTGAGTTTGATCCATTAAGTGGTCAGTGTGTGCTTCAAAGAATGTCGACTATGCAATCTGTCCAGGCATACGGCACCGAGGTCAGGCTAGAAGCAGGACGGTTATGCCAGCAGTAGAACTGATTGGGAATGTTAGTCATGAGTCAGTATGTTTATGAGCTAAATGAGAGTTCCTCTGTATGGAATTTCCTATCATCAACGAAGTTAAGTTTCAAATCTTGTCGGGAGGAAAGTGCACCGTCATTGTTTCATGTTGATTGATCGACGAAGTTTTCAGTCTTCAAAGCCAGGACTCTTTTTAAAATCAGAGAAGTGTTGGTTTTTTTTCCAAGGCCAGCAGTTCAATTGTTCCTAGTTAGGTGAAAAGTATGACTACTCCTGTAAGGGGGGTAGGTCGTAGAGATGAGCTTTGGCTCACCTCATCGCTGTTTCAGTTGAAGGTTCAACCTAGTGCAACAATTCGGGTAGTACTTGAATAAGTCAGTTGCAAGGTGTCAACAGAGTTACACCGATCTCAGGGCATCCGATTGAATTCTAAGGTACACCCGTGAGGCTAGTTCAACAACTCCGCTTAGAGAAGCAACATCAGGGACAGTTGCAGTTCAGACGAAAGATTGATCAAGCAGCTTCTTAGAATACTTACCGTTCATGTCAAGAGCAGCCCAAGCGAATTAAGGGTCAATGATTTACGAATGCCAGAGATAAGTTTTAGGAACAACTCCATCCTTCTCTAGCCAGCTTGGTGAACTGTCAGGTTATCAAATTGCTAGTATCAACGGTTCAGCCCAAGATAAGAGAGTTTCACAAGCATCCGCAGCCCTAGTTTGGGTCAGTTCAAGCAGAACCAATCAGTTCAGTTTTGGGAAGCAATGGGACAGCAGGGTTGAATCCAGCTAGATCACTCGTATAGGTTTGATCAGTTAATTGGTCGTGTTGGGTACCAGAACTCCAGGGATCTAATCCAATGAGGCCAGTCAGTTCAGTTGTTTGAAGCAAAAGAACAGAATGGTCGATGCTGATCAGTTCAGTTATGCAGGTTTGGTCCATCGAGCAATCAGTCAATCAGTCAATCCGAAACAGAAAAAAAAACAGTGCAGTGTGCAGATCAGTCAGATCGGTCAGACTGCCCGCACAACCAGTTTTCTTTCTAGCCATCCCAGAATCTCAGGACGAGATTCCTGTAAGGGGGGTAGATTTGTAACGCCCCGATTTTCGGTCAGGATTAAAAATCATTTAATAATGCATTGTCTAGAAATTAAATAAAAGATAAATCAATTTAATCAAGTGAAATTATGGAGGAAATTAAAATTTCCTTTAAAAATCATTGGCCGAGAATATTTTGTAATATTCTTTATGCCCTAATATACTCTCCGGAATTTTCCGTGAATTTTCGGAGCTCAAGAAATAATTTTAATGGCACAAAGTTCATTGAATCAATTAAATAAAATGAAAAACAAATTAAAACCTCCTCTCTCCCTTTTGGGCCGCTCCCGGCCCAATCCCCCTTTCCCTCCCGCAGCCCGCGCCCCTCTCTCCCTTCCTCGGCCGGCCTCCCCTCTCCTCTCTTGGGCCGTCGGCCCGTTTTCCCTTCCCCTCGCGCAAAGTCTAAATAACCCCCTGGGTTCTCCTCCCTCTCTCCCTCCCCGACAGGTGGGCCCGGCGACCCCAACCGTCAGGCCCTCCTCCTACCTTCGGCTTCCTAGGCCAAAGCCGCCATGGCCGGCGGTTGCCGCCCACGTCCCGCCAAATCCGGCCCTCCCGCTCGCGCCCTCGCGCCCAAACCGCATAAAATCGGTCGCCCTCCACGTCTCCTCCACCTTTTCCCCCACTCTCCCCATGGAAATCGGCGCCGGTTTGCCCCCGTCACGTGCCCACGTCGCCACTCCATCTCGCCGGCCGTTGCCGCCCCGTTGCCGCCCATCCCGGCCACGATCTCCCTCCCCCGCGCCCATTTAAACGACCCCGTGCTCCCCTCATCCATTTCCCCATTTTCAGAAATGTAGTGCTTCTGAGCTGAAGACGAAGTTAGAGGACCAAGGCTCAGACCCCAGTTGAGTTTTGCCTGTGGAGTGGAGCTGAAGCCCCGCTAGGATCGCCTTTTCCGCTGCCGCCGCTTTTGTTTCGGTGTGAGGACTAAGTGCCTCTCCTGTAAGTATTTTACGCTTTATTTACGTTTGGAACTGTTTATTACTTGTCGTTTTGTGTACCCTGGCTGGTCCTGGACAGAGATTTAATACACAAAATAGTCTGAAAATTTGGGCTAAATTTCTGGGCGTGACATGTCCCTACATTGGACATGGTCTTATGTTGTACTAATACATATTTGTAGCTAATTATGGATGAATTGTTAAAATAAATGTAAATGATATGACAATGAGATAGTCACTAGTTGGTTTTATAATTAGCCTTTTTTTAATGAAGTAACGAGGCTTCCCTAATTCCATCTTCTTTTCCAACAAACAAATTAATTAGTGTTAATAAATCTTGAGCTTGGAAGTAAAGAGAACACTGTAAAATAATGCTTCCCTACTTTCATTTATAGATGGCCAACTGGGCCGCCCGGCACGGCACGGCCCAAACCCGGTCGTGCTTGGGCCGAGGCTAGTCGGGCCAACACGGCCCAGGCACGACCCAATACTACTCGGATCGTGTCGGGCCGACCCGAAGGCACGATAGCCCATCGTGCTGCTCCACAGAAAAAGTCTATTTTTCATCCCTCAACTATGTGGGCTGTGTGAAATGGCTGGAAAATAAGTCTATTTTGTATTCCTCTTCTCTTTGGGCCTTACCTTATATGGTTATTTAAGTCTATTTTGCATCCCTATAGTTTTTTATTTGATCGGGCCGGGTCGGGCCGGCCCACCGTACCGAGGGTGCAGCCCAGGCACGGCTCGGTTGTCGGGGCAGGCCAGCACAGGCACGACTCCAGTTAGGCCGAGCCATGTTTGGGCCGGACCAAAATGGCGTGCTTCGGACCGGACCATAGGCCTCGGGCGATAAGGCCATCTATACTTTCATTTTCTTCTACAACAAACAGTTATTTATCGTGTTAAAAAATGCTTAGCTGGGATGCAAGAGAACACACAGTGACAGTGACCAAGCAAGATACTCCTCCACGATACACAGTGACAGCGAGAAGATTTCTGCAATATATAACATCCAGCCTGGAATAGGGGAACTACTCTCTTCTAGTCATCCTTCTTCCCCAGTCCTCACAGACCGGCTATGCCATCACCGGATAAAAGTATAAAACCATGATCAGATTGGTTGTTGGGAGCCCTCATGATTTGATTACCCCACATCAACCACTCGATTCCATTAGATTATTCACAAACCCATGTGAACCGTGACTGTCAGTCAGGTGAGGAAACAGATATTCCAAAAATCATATTCTTTCCTTTTGTATTAACCAAATTCACACAAAGGTGATATTTAAAACTGACGAAGATGAAAATTAAGTTGACGCACGTAAAATGAAAAAGCTATCGGCATATGATTAATTAAATTTAATTATTACAAACTTGATAAATGAATATATTTGATATTTTAAGGCAACTTCTATATAAAACTTTTTTATATGAAGAGGACTGCTACAAAACGGGATCCCGTTGCAACGGGATAAGGCATATTAACTATTCTCTTGCATGAGTATCACAGATATCAGGCCCTAAGTATCATAGGTACCAGGTAACAGGTATCACAGGTATCGGGTACCATACAGCTCGTACCACAACAGGTATCAGGTACTATCTCATAAAAGGTAACGTGATACCGTTGTCTAGGTTTTCTGTTATATGAAACATATTGTAGTTTAAAAAACGTGCCAACGAAAATAGAGATAAAAATCTGAATCTTGATGAGAAAATCATGCCCAAATTTCACCCTAAAACAGTCAATTTCCCGCGAAAAAAAGCAAAAAAAAAAAAACTCCAGACAGTTGTTAAAAGGGGAAAAAAAAAGACAGAATGCTCAGCCGTCGAGACACACACAACGGCAACGTCTTACCAGCTCGGAGCTCTCTCGCTTGCTGCCTCTTCTCTTCTTCCTCCCGCCACCGACACCACCTCCACCAGCAGCTTCGCCTTCGCCGCGTCGGCATCTGCAGTTGCCACTTCGCTTTCTTCCACTCCCTCCTCCTCCTCGCTTACCTCACACTCCTCCCCCCCAATTTCATCCCCCACCCACCACCAGATCCCCCACCACCTGCCGCATTCTCCCCCCCAAGATCCAGATCGCCGGTCACCCCCACGAACTCGCTCGAGATCCAGAGAGAGAGAGAGAGGCAGTTTCTTGGTTGATTTTCGAGGATGAAGAGGAAGACTCGGAACAAGATAATCCTGACGACGCTGCTGGTGTCGGCGGCGGCGATCCTGATCGGCGGGACGGTGGCGCTGATCCTGACGGCGGGGACATGGAAGGTGAAGATGAAGGAGTCGCGCGAGAAGATCTGCGACAAGGGGTGGGAGTGCTCGGGTAGCAAGTACTGCTGCAACGACACCATCACCGACTTCTTCAAGGTGTACCAGTTCGAGAACCTCTTCTCCAAGCGCAACAGCCCCGTCGCCCACGCCGTCGGCTTCTGGGACTACCAGTCCTTCATCACCGCCGCCGCCCTCTTCGAGCCCCTCGGCTTCTGCACCACCGGCGGCAAGCAGATGCAGATGATGGAGCTCTGCGCCTTCCTCGGCCATGTCGGCTCCAAGACCTCATGTGTGTAGCTTCTTCGTTTTCGCTATGGTTTGATTTGGATTTGAGGTTTTAAGCTCGCCATTGATGGGGATTTGTGTGTGTGTGCAGGTGGATTTGGTGTGGCGACCGGCGGGCCGACGGCGTGGGGGCTCTGCTACAACCACGAGATGAGCCCTAAGGAGGATTACTGCGACAAGACGAACCTGCAGTATCCCTGCGTCGAGGGCGCCGAGTACTACGGCCGCGGCGCCATCCCCGTCTTCTGGTAAGCTTCGCTTCGTCGCCGCCATCTCGATCGCTTGATTTGATGATTGATTCGGATTCGGATTCGGAATAGGAACTACAACTATGGCGCGGCGGGCGACGGGATACACGAGGACCTGCTCCACCACCCGGAGTACCTGGAGCAGAACGCGACGATGGCGTTCATGGCGGCGATGTGGCGGTGGATGACGCCGATGAAGAAGAAGCAGCCGTCGGCGCACGACGTGTTCGTGGGCAACTGGAAGCCCACCAAGAACGACACGCTCGCCAAGCGCCTCCCCGGGTTCGGCGCCACCATGAACGTGCTCTACGGCGACCAGATCTGCGGCAAGGGCTACATCGACGACATGAACGTCATCATCTCGCACTACCAGTACTACCTCGACCTCATGGGCGTCGGCCGCGAGCACTCCGGCGACAACCGCGACTGCGCCGAGCAGGCCGCCTTCAACCCCTCCTACAAGAAGCCCGACGATCAGCAGCAACAAAGCTAGAACAGATCACCCCCAATTCCCCCCAATTCCACGGTAAAGAATTCACCCAATGTGTTGTTGTATACATCTTCTTGCTACTGCAATCGCTATTGCCAATGCAAACCAACCATTGCCATTGCTGTTGCCTCGTGAGCTATACAGATTAACGGATTCTTCATCAGTGTGAGGAGCTGTGGTTTGCATTGGTGTATTTCTGAGTAGCGGATTTTGAGGGAAGTGTCAACTGTGTGTGTGATGCCTATGGGATTTGGGAAATTTGTTGTAGCCCTTGTTGTACCATAGTGTACATTTTCATTCCATTTGATTTTTGTCACATATACATGTTTAAAGAGGAGGATTCAGGATAAACATACCATGATTTTGATGAGCTTGCTGTGTATCTGTTATTGAGGTGTGTGTAGCTGTTTAGCATGCATGCAATAGTTTTCATGCATCAGTGCGTGATAATGCTGTGTGTCATAATTTGGGCTGGGTAAAAATACTCAGTCCTCAGTTACTTCTCGCTATTGATCTTTCAGCTTTGATCATTAACAAACAATTAATTTACGATAAATGAAAGTAGTATGGTTGTACTTATGGCACAACACCTTGCCAATATGGTATACCTTGAAGTGTACATAAACTTTGTAAAAGGGACAGGCGGTCGAAATTAAATAAAAGTACATAATATCCAGTGACATACTTCAATCCAGAGGGAGTATTTGTCAAGTGAATAAGAGAACATATGCCAACAAAGGAATGACAAATACTTGAATCCAGAGGGAGTATTTGTCAAGTGAATAAGATAACATATTGCCAACAAAGAACTAGTGAAAAAAGACAAGCTGATGTATTGCTGCAGAGCCAGATTGTTGAGCATTGCCAACTTTGAACTTCCAAAAGAAGCTCAGCCAAAAATGCCACAGAAATTATATTACTAGCTACAAGGGCATGGATCATGCTCCAATTTGGCCATGCTTGACTGCCTGACGAACTCAACCAGAAATTTCACCATCAGAAATGGCATGTCTTAGATAATAAAAGGGATCAAACCCACATACAAGAAAAACATGTCCCTACAACATTTCCTTATCTTACAAAGAGAAAACAAGGAGAGGAGCTAATCTTACACGGCAGGTTTCCTACCTAGGCCCATACTAGAAAAAGCACACTCCTGAAAAGAGTTCCAACATGGCTTTTGGATACAACAATTGTAACGTGTCCGAAAACTTGATTTTGAGTCAGATTCAGCCTCCAACCTGGCACCAACGTGGCATGATACATATAAAGGCCAGTAAGGCCTTGCATTACAGGAAAAACTGGCCCCCAAATTATGAAGCGCAAAAGAGAATCAATAAAACCATGGATGGGGAGCTTAAGGTATCACTGTGTTGCAGTCTTCAAGCTGAAGGGCCTCCATTTTGAGTATCCTCTAACTTGGTTTTTGGTTCATCAGAAACATGGTTAGAATGTGCCTCTTCGAACAGAGGGCTTTCCGCTTTCCTTTTTCGTGTTAGCTCCAGTTCTTCTGCTTCAGGTGGCTCATCAGCATGAGAAGCTCGTTCGCCAGCTTCACCCTCCTGATGTACCGATGGTGCTGCCCAGGCTATGGGGCTCACTAAAGCAAAAAAACATCACATGGAATCAGACAAATGGCAAAAATATCATATAGGATCAGACAAATGGTGAATGCAGTTCGTTTGGCATGCTATAGAGCTAACCTTCAGCGGACATACATACAGTAACAAATTAAGGGCAGCTCGAGTAGTTTATAGTATAAATATATCTCTCTAAAAGAGTGAAGAGATTGTTGAATAAGTTTCTACGATCAATTCACTAAAAGAGGAAGTACCGATCTCTAGCAAGTTAGTCTTGGAAAGAACCAAAATGACTAATACAATACATCCAAGACAGACTTACGTGTCTGTTATAGAACCTGTTGCGTAAGCTAATTTCATAAAACAAAGCTGGATAAAGATAAATCTAGCAAGTAGTATGATTCTATAACATAAACACGAGCTTGTTACATAGTAACTTTTAGTACACGCCACTAGCCAGCACATGTCAGTTATTATGCAACTCAAGTTTAAGGAAACTAATTTGACTTCTTATGTTTACTTTTAATTATTTATTATTAGATAACTGGACTACATGATCAGAAATCCATATAATGACAAAATACTAACCAATCAATCTCCTGGGGGTCTGTGTGTGTAGATATATTTTAAGCCATAGCAGGTCAACGCGAACCCAGTTCAATCGGTTCAAGGGACGGGGTTGACGGCCACAGGATTTTACTTGCCAAAACATGTGGTACGGAAGGGTATCTTTTCAGCACGATAGTTTGCGATGCAGGACATGAATCCGGTAATATTGGGTCGATGGCTCAGGTCAATTACCCAATCTATAGCTGCCAACTAGTTTCGGGCACATATCTTGAACCCCACCTCCATATCTATTATATCCTTCTGTAGCAACCATAGGGGATGGTGATCCGGTTCATGACCCAACCATTGATCAGGATGATGAACCAGATCAACTGCATATCACGAATCGGGATAATAATCCAGGGTGGTGGGACGTGGCAGTGAACCACGAAGCTGGTGACTTACCCATTAATTGTTCAGCATGCAAATGGAAAGTTTTTATTGAGAATTAATACTGATTATGTGCTAACTAGTTATGATGAGTTCATTTATACGCCATTACACACCTTCTTCCGGCTTAACGGACTTGGTCGTTACTACACTTGCTTCATCATTTGGATTCACTATCTTAGGGCGCTTTTTGACATAGTCCTGTCGCAGAGGCCTAGGAATCTGGAATGAAAATTGAGTTAATGTTACACCCTGTGCAACATAATCCGGATTCTCCAAGAGGTACCTGCAAAGCATGGATTGAGTAGTTAGAGCATGGGCATACTGAATTACATTCTATTTATTTACAATATCCACTTGTCCAGCCATAAGAGCTGAAGAGGAAAGCAACATAAAATGTGCAGTGAAAGAATTCAAAGGGGAAATTTGACAAATCGAACATAATAATGTACCTATCAATTTCAACCAGTGACCTCAGTTTCCTTCCAGTAGGAGAAGTGTAATACCTGAAAGAAAGTAAAAGAGTGTCATATAAATACAATAACTTCAGTAAATATATCAAGACAAAAGTTTGTATAAATCATATAAAGGCAGTACTACTATCAAATATAAAATAAAGGGCAAGTTTGGTTTGGTGCCATACCAAAATCTTGGTAGTGCCAAAGTTTGGGCAACTTTTGGCACTACCAAATTCGGATGGCCAAAACTTTTACTATCTAAGAGATGTGTTGTTAAAATTTGGCACCAATCCAAACAACTAGAAACTCTATTGAAAATTGCCAATGAATTGGTAGGGCACAATTTGGAACCAAACCAAACTAGCCCAAAATGTTGAAAGAAACCACCATATTAATTCTACGAGACTAGAATTTCCCACATAAATCAAGAGGAAATAAAAATATCTATAATACAGGCTAGATTGCATAGGCAGGGAACCCTACATGAACCAGATGCTCACTGGTTAAACAAAGGCCAGTAGAAATGTTGGAGTTTATACTTCATACTGCTAACAGTGATGTGAAGTCTTAAACGCCGTATCCTCTTCTACATGATTCAGTACCTTCACTGTCTTGATTCCCAATTGTATTATACTTTAAACACTGGATAACTGTTCAACTGATTGATCTCCATTTGGTTTTGTGAGCCAACTAATGTAGCAACTACCAACAGACAGCAAAATGACCGAGATTCCACCCAATGCTTCTCAGCCTCAAGAACTTGATTCTCGTCATGATGCCAAAACTGCCTCTCATTGGTTTAGACTGATGTACTAAGAACAAATTAAGTATGTTCATCCATACAACTTTCACTTCATTACCAATTAGGATGAGGTTATTGCAATGCTAGGGACTAATTAAACATCTGGTCAGCAATAATCACATTTTACAGCAAGCAATAGGCTCAAATACCATCATATAAAGAGATTACAGCTACAAACACATAGTATAACATTTTCCTAGGTAGCCAATAATAGAAAGGACGATACTGCAGCTTATCAATGGGCGTGGATCACTTAATTGGTACGGTTCTTTTGTTATACAAAGTCAACTAAGATGCACTTTTTAATGCATATTTGTGTATTTAGTTCATTTGATTGAACTAGAGTGGATAAGCAAGTACCAAGGAGTGACCTGTGCTCACCACTACTGTAGCTACTACCTTCTACCTAAGTTGAACTAGTCAAAGTTTGTACATAACTAAGGCATAGAGAATTGGTTAACAGTCCAAAGGAAGCCAATGATTGGGGGAAAATAACATAAAAATACAAAACAAATTGAAACAATTAATGGGTAAGAGAATAGTAAAGTTTGCCATGTGAACGCATGGGCTACTTGGATAGTTTCTATTATTTTAGAGCATTAGTTACATACAGAAATGTCAGGAAATAAATAATGAAATCAATGTCCTTGCAGAAACATGGACTAAAAAGGTTAGATCAGTGGCAGAAAAGCATTACTCACACATCAGCAAATTTGGTGCCTCCTTCGCCTCTTATTCTGATCTGTCTTTCCCATCCAGGAGGAGGTAGTGCAATATTGGGTTTGTCAATAGCCCAAAGCCTGCTTCCATCCTGAGATATATCTTCTGGATCATTACATGTTACATCAGGTCTCCACTCACGGGCTCGTTCGCACTCAAAAGGTTCCTGTATAATACACTCACGAATTTCTTCATACTTCTCTTTTGTCGGAATAAGTCTCCATTTGAAACACTTGGCACATTGGACAGTGAATGCCCCAATAGATGGCATTCCTCGGTTCGGATTATTGGCTGATTTCTGCAAAGATGGTGAATGGTTCTCTCCAAGTTCATCTTGCCCTTTAGCTACAGTTTCAGGGTTGAACAGAACCATTTGATTTGATGCACTTTCAGATGAAAACTCATCATTGTCCAGTTGGTGGCCATCAGTATCTGACAACATAATTCGGGACTTCTTTGATGGTTGAGGAGTTTTTGAATTTCCCATAGGCTTTTTACAAGATTTGCCTGCAGTTGATAACCATAAGAAAATGTTGACATAGAACATGATATCTTATACAAAACAAATAAGAGACGTAAAACATGCCATCTCATACAAAGCAAATAAGAAGCCCAATCCATTTAGTGCTTATGAATAAAAAACTGTCATTCATAATAAACAATAAAACGCACTTCACTTCACTTCACTTCACTGACAGTGATAAAAAGAAGCAACTGGAGATAAATAAAGATAATCTAGACAGAAGTGGCTATAATTGTTATTGACAAGATGAGCTCCATTTGCTTTCCTGGTAAAGCATATTTTAGTTTTGCCCCTGTGTCGCACTTCACCCAATCACACCACAACATATCAGTAATTCAGCCCCCAAAATACAACCGCGAATATCAGAAGCAAAACGTGGGGTGACACCTCCTTGTTATTCAGAAAATGGGTTCGTATGGATTATCTGTCTAGCACGTGAGTAAATTAGAGTTCTCGAGCTCCAGAATCAGCTCATACAGTTTTTGTTCAGACACATCTAAACTACTACGATAGATTCCAATCAGTATAAATGGCAGCAGTTAATCATCACGATGGGAATAAACACAGACAGTAATAACTTAACGATTTCTAAGCTGATTGAATGGAGAAGAGCATAGGGGCGGATCTAACGCGGGACATGGGTGTTCAATTGAAACCCCCAAACATTTTAGTGGGGGAGGCAGTATTAAGGTTAGGGCAAATTAAGACAAAAAGCTTCCAGATCTAGAAGCGAAGCTAGGGTTAACGCAAATTCGAGAAGAGAAAAAAAAAACGTCGGTAGAGACAGATGAGGAAGAGGGTGTGCGTGACGGATGGGTGCTCACCGGGGATGCGGCGGAAGCAGCAGGACAGACGACGACGACGGAGGCGGCGCCCTCCCCCTGCTCAGCTCGCGGGGATGGAGATCGGCGCAGGCGACGGGGCGAGCGAACTCACTCGCGAGGAGTCGACGCCGAGGGAATCCTCGAGGCACCGACGACGAACGAAGAGAGGGAGAGGCTCCGCGGGTGCGGACGAGGTTTGCGGCGGTGGGTGGGGGGGTGCGGGCCGCGAGCCTCGGGCCGCCGCCTCCGGCGACGCCGGCTCGCCGGAGATTGCTTGGCGCGGGGTCGCACCACGACGAGGAGGAGGAGGAGGAGGAGGAGCACGGGGGACGACTCTTACGGTGGTGTGCCTGGCAGCATCGGTAAAGAAGAGGGGCAAAGGGGGGACGGAGTTCGCGACGGGATCGGGCAAAAATGTAATTCACTGGTCCTAATCTGGAGAGATGGGTGGCACAGACAGGGGTAGTTTCGTCAATGCGATCTTTGGCGGTGGGCTCATAGGGACGACTGCGCTCAGCTTCCATTTGGCACGGCCAAAGCTCCAACCAAACAATTTTAGCTTCACCAGAAAATAAAGTAAAGTTGTTATTACGAAATAAACTACAGAGGTGGAGTTGGATTTAGACGTGGAGTTGGGTTCGCAACTTCACTTCAGACCCAACTCCTAAGTTAAATTTAGAGGTTGGAGTTCTACCAAACAAACCCATAGTTATCAGTTTGTCTTCACTTTCTTAGAGTTGTCACTCGCCATCATATAATTAGAATATAGGAGTATGTTTCACAGACCTTAGGTGTCACCTGTCATTACAAGAACGGGGCATATGCTCTTTGTGATGATATAAATTGTCATGAGCCCATGCCTATGCATTAAACGATGTAACTGCTATTTTCATCTATGAACCACCCGTCATTATACAAACGGGGCATATGCTCCTTGGGATGATATAAATTGCCATGAGCCCATGACTATGTATTAAACAGTGTAACTATTTATTTTTCATCTATGGACCACCGTTCGAGGGTGTTATGTTGTGACTAGATATTATGTCACCGTACACTAATAACAATAAGATAATAATATGACTAGAGCATTACTACACATGTTTTTAAAACACATAGTCATTAAAACTAGGCCTCTAAAGCATGAGCATATGTTACTAGTATCACACTAGATCAATTATAGAGTAAGGAATTGTAGAGATCGTGGAAAAAAATAGTTCTGATTTTGTTCTTAGTTGGATATCTTTGTACGAACTTTCTATACTCTCCATAAAGTTATAGATGGCCATAAGGCCCAAGGTTTGATGCCCTGGCCCACGGCACAACTCAAGCATGGCACGACATGATAGTTAGGCCATGACTGGGCCGATGCCTTGGCATGGTGGGCCAGCTCCGCACGGTCTAATGAGCGTGAAGAAAAATAGTTGAGGGACCCAAAATGGACATATTGGGCATTTAAGGCACGGCCAAAGAGATTAGGAATACAAAAGTAGACTTATCCCAACCATATAAGACATGGCCTAAAGAGACGAGGGAGGAAAATAGACTTATTCATAGAGAAGCATAATGGGTTATCATGCCTTAGGCCAGCCCGGCACGGCTCGAGTCTTATTGGGTTATGCCTGGGCAGTTGGTGTAGCCCGTGGGTGGGCACGGCCTGACCCGACTGACCTCAGGCTGGGCCCAGTCCTACTTGGGTCGTGCCAGGCCACGCGGCCCATTTAGCCATCTATACATAGGGCGCTTCAATTGTAGGATTAAATATGGATCAGGTTGCTTATTGTCAACCATATCCATATACTTTTCTAAGCTTATCTAAGCCTATTTTAATTAAATTTATTATAGTCATGTGGATTTTGTAGAGGCACTGATTTTGTAGAGGCAATTTTATCCCCGTCCACTTATGGACCATTTTGGATTGAAATCATTAAAGCCAAATAATTGATAGTGCACATATTTAATTTGGTCACATTCTACAAACTTATTCACCGTACTAATAAAATTTACCATACTTCGCATTGGTATCAAACCAAATATGGGCTAGCTAACTTTCCCAAAAAAAGAAGTAGAAGATAGTACTAAAAATTGCTTAGATTTTAGATTTTGATAGAATTGGTAGGTCCAAAAGAAGAAGTAGAAGATAGTACTAAAAATTGCTTATGTTTTAGATTTTGATAGAATTGGTAGAGTAGAGAATCAAATAGTATGCCTCAAGTGTGGTTAAAATTCCATTTGTTTCAAGATTAAAAAAATCCATTTGTTTCTACCCACATTACTCATCCATTAATTCAGTCAGACCGAGCCAAACACATCCAAAACCAGTAGATGGGCGCACAGTGTGAATAGCGGAGAAATTCTTAGCAAGAGCATTGTGAAGTCAACATTCATAATCTTACCACCCATACAGTCTATGTACCCGTATATCAGTTTCAACTTTCACGTTACAAGCTCTGGCAGCAAAAATATCAGCACGTACGATTTTTTTTTTAAAAAAACGACCGTCGAGGCGTCAACCGTACCAGTACCACACTGACCATGTACAAGCAGAACAAAACTCCGCGTAATCACCAGTTCACCACCAATACACCATTCCCCTCTCCACTGATCGATGAACTGATCAAGGACAATACTACTCCTACAGAAAGAGAAGAACACCACGTACGATCTCATCTCGATTCTCACTCCAACTCCTGCTCAGTCTCCACTGCGCTGCCAAAACGAGGAAAAACTACACGAGCAGGAAGCAAATGAAAGCCAAAGACCGCCATGAAAGCCCACCAGTGTGTCTATGGTACTACAATCTACAAACAGCGTGCGTTGCGTGCGTCACGCGCTTCACCATGACCACGTCACCGGGCTCGGCTGGTAGCTCACCGCCGGGAGCGGCGGCTGCGGCGGCGGCGCCATGCAGTGCTGCGGCCACTGGTAGTAGGGCGCCTCGCCGGCGGCGGCGAGGTGGGATCCTCCCGATCCCCCGTCCTGCTCGACCTCCATGGACGTGTCCTCGGCGTCCATCATCTCCGTCGTCGTCGTCGCCGTCGCGGCGGCCGACGTGGAGGCTTCCTGGGAGTTTGAGGGCACGGGAACCCATGGTACCATGGCCAGGTTGGAGGTCTCGTCCATGGCTAGCTCCTCGAACAGAGCACGGTGTTCGCTCGCCTCTCGCAGCGCGGTGCCTGCAGGATCAAACCACAGTTAATTTGATCTCAGCAGCTTCAGGTTGAAACAAATTCGACTCAAATTAGGCGTGGATTTGGTGGATTACGTACTCTTGAGGCCGTGGATCCAATCGGGGCTGACGCGGAGAGGGAATTCCGGGCGGAGTGGGCCGAGGAGGAGGTTGCGGGCGGCGTCGTCTGGCTTGTACAGCACGATCGCCCTCTCCTCGTTCGGCGCCGGCACGGCGATCACCGGAACCTCCTCGCCGCGCATCTGCACCTCCGCCACCGGCTGCGGCGGCGGCGGCGGCGCGCACAGCTCGGGCACAACGGGCGGCGGCACATCCGCGTCCTGCACGCACCACGACGCGAGTTAGTTGATGGCATACGCCGCTAGTGTGATTTGGGGGGAGATTTGAGTTAGAGTACGCACGAGACGGCGGATTTTGGTGGCGCGGGAGGAGACCGGGAATCCGGAGGCTGCGCCGCCGTCGTCCAGCCACAGCTCCGGCGCGTCCTCGCCTTTCCTCTTCGCCGCCGCCGCCGCCGCCGCCGCGGGCGCCATGCCCACTGGCACCTGATCGCCGAACACCCGCACGTCGCCCGCCCCCAATCCCGCCACCGGCTGCTGCTGCGTCGGCGGCGCCGGCGGCACGCACACGCCGGGCACAACGGGCGGCACCTCCGCGTCCTGCGCGCACCCAAAACCAAATCAAACAGGTCGTCAAACCCGAGCACATCCCGCTAGTGTGATTCGGGAAGGGAGATGAGGTAGAGACTAGAGAGCACATACGAGGCGGCGGATCTTCGTGGCGCGGGAGGAAACCGGGAACCCGGAAGCGGCGGCGGCGGCGCCGCCGCCCATCCACAGCTCCGGCGGGTCCGCGTCTTTCCTCTTCAGCGCCGGCGCCGCGTCCATCGCCATCTCAACTCCTGCTGCTCAAACTCCCCGTCTCCAAGAGACAGACCCCAACTGATCCAGTAGCGATGTGGTGGTTGATGATTTCGTCGAGAGCTCGTGTGGTTCGCGATGATGGCTGATGCGGCAATGGCGAGAGGGGAGGGGAGGGAAGAGGAGGCGGCGAAAATTTAGGAGGAGGGAAAGGGAAAGTTGGAGAAGGTTCGTTTCGCGCTCTCGTGGGCTCTAGAATATTTCCGCGCTTCTCGCTTCAGTTCGATGCATCGCTTCTCGAATCCTACGTGGCGCTTGGACCGTGGACGTGTACCGTGTACGTGGCAACGATACGTGTGGCCCACATGGCGGTGCCCGTAATAGTCTTCAGTGTAATCCCAGCCAATCCACGTCTTCTCCGTCCCAATACCTCGTTTCTAGCCCATCATCCACCGCGCAGCCCATCCAGTTCCAGCCCATCTATCGTGTTCGTGGCAGCACCGTTCCTTCCGGCCCATGTATCCTCCCACTCCCACTCGGCCCGAGAGTTTGGAGGCCGAATCGGGCCGAAACCAGGGTGGAACAGGTTTCCTTGTGATTTTACACGACACAGGGCTGATCGCTCCGTGGTGCATGGTCAATAATTAGTCATGGATGCACCGGCCGGATTTCGAGGTTCTGTGGCACGAAGTTTCGCCACGTTTTACTGCCGGCTACGCGGTCACTCGTTTGACACTTTTGCCGGTGCGTGTTCTCGCCGTGCTGATAGCCAGATAATCTGTGTCTGCCACTAAAGCTGTGTTATTTAGTCTAATTTTCCGATTTCATTTTCATTATCTTTCACGCGTACATTTTCTAAAATATTAAACGGTGTATTTTCTAAAAAAAATTATATATAAAATTATATTAGTCTATTTTAATTTTTTAATACTTAACTAACCGTACGCTAACGTGCCTTGAAAATAAAATCATGCGCTAATTAATACTTACTTTGTTTTGCGAGTCGAAGAGAAGGAGTTGGGAATACATCCTAAGATATTTCTCTAATCAAGTTTACTCGACTTGTTTTTTATAATAAACACAGTACACGCTTACCTACATATGCACAACACACGCACAGACACCATACCCTTACATGCATCTTGGAGATATTCGGATCATGCTCCTGACGTATCTTTAAGAACTATGAAGAAAAAAAAAACATGTCAACATTTGTCTACCGTTGAAAAAAAGTACTCAATTTCAAATATAACGAATTAAATGCAAAACTTTAAAATTGAAACACACCCATGTCCTCTCTGGTCCCCTCCTCCCAACCCGAGAAAATATGTAGTGGAAATTATATATCCTAAAAACTACCGTTGGATCGAAAAATAAATATATGAGATTTATCCACGTCATCATGCTCAAAGTGGACGAATCTCGTACGTTCATTTTCGATCCAATGGTAGTTTCACCATAAATTTTCCTCCCAACATATTGCGCACACAGCTATAGCATAGAGGAAGAAGGAAATAGAAGAGGAGATGAAATGAGAAATTCTGAAAGCATTACGTCAAGAGAGAATTAAGCAACGAGTTCCTTTCAAAATAGAAAACAAAATAAACAAAACTGACGAGTGGCAAAAAAGAGAGAGAGCAAGAAATAACAATTACCGACGACTACTCTTGGTCAAGAAATATATTTGGAAATCTGCACAGTACCTAGTGGCGTTTGCAACTGCTGAGTGCTGACTCACTAAAAAGGAGCCTTATCTCCAATTGTTTTCTTCTCAACTCTCCCCTAAAAAAGCAGAAGCACTTGGGCGTTGGCATCTCCTACTAGCTGCTTCTCACACCGAATCAAAGCAGTTGCCTCATTGCCTGCCTACTGGACTCTACACTACACCATTAGGTTGTTGGTGAGAGGCGCAATGCGTGTCCCAGGCATATATATGTGGCCTCTGGCCGGATTGTATCAGGACGCCGTCTCGGCCAGGTTCACTCTCAATCTAGCTCTATATACCCCACGCACTTCTATTTTTTTCCATCGATCATTGCCACTTTTCTCCTGGATTTTGACTCCACATGAGGAGTTTTAATATGGTAGAATACCAGTGCTTACTTTGTGACCTTCGAATGCAATTGGAGGACAAAGCAATGCAGGCTGTAAAGATACTTGTCTAGCTGCTTGCTTTTCATCAGTAATTTCCTTTTGCTAGGAGACAAATGAACATAGCGATATTTTTTCATAAAAAAAGAACTACGTACATGCATTGCATCATAAGCTAATGCAGAACTAATATATATGTACCCATACGATCGGTATATACTCAGCATATGGCTTCGATCACTATCATGGAAGAAAAAGGCTGGGATTCCTGTAATGTGTCAGATCCTCTCTTTAACTAATCAACATGTATTGGACTCCACTAATGACTAGAGTCAACTTTAAATTTACTAGCTATAGCTACCCAACCTTTTCATGAATACTACAAATTATTATTTATCAGTACTAGTAATAATTTGGTGAAAATTTCCTGCTTTATTCAATAAAATTGACAGCTTGTCAATTCATTTAAAAAATAATAATTTGGTGAATTTACAACCAAGTGTATTGGCATTTAGGCCTTGTTTAGTTGGAGATAATTTTTGAGTTTGATTGTCAGATCGGATATACGCACGCATTTGAAGTATTAAACGTAGTCTAATAACAAAACAAATTATAGATTCTGCCAGAAAACTGCGAGACGAATTTATTAACCCTAATTAATCCGTCATTAGTAAATGTTTACTATAGCACCATATTGTCAAATCATGTCGCAATTAGGCTTAAAAGATTCGTCTCGCAATTTACACGCAATCTGTGCAATTGATTTTTTTTCCTATATATAATACTTTATATATGTGTTCAAATATTTAATGTGACAGCGTGAAATTTTTTGTTTTAGAAACAAAACAGAGCCTTAATTTTGAGGCCACAAAACCTGCCACGCTCTAGCACACGTAGTGCTGTCATACGTAGCATGATACGTAGCTTTCGCGCCCCAGAATTGCATGATAGTTAAGCAGCTAGAGCCCACAGTTGCAAACCAACGCAGACATGCACAACTAATCCTATCGATCGAATCGACAACGATCGCTCGATCGATGCCTCCGCAAGCGATCATCAATCTCACTACTCTCTCTCAGCAGAATGCTTGAGAAAATAGCACACACATGAATGTACATGCCAATATAATGATTAATTATGGCCTTTTGGAGACATGCATGAAGTTGATCGATCGGGGCCGACAACTGTTGAGTGCCAATAAAGTTGGAGAACCTAATTAATTACTGTAGTTAGGACTTAGATAGTGTTGAGGTAATTAGGATGATAATAAATGGTAGATAATGTTAATTGATCACATGTGGGGGTTGTGGTATCGATACGGTTAACCAAAGTAGGAAGGTGATATGGATGCTGCTGTATAACTTTAGCTTAATCCTGCACTCAAGTTGACAACTTGTGATTGGTTAATGGTGACTGTAATTCTGTACGTCTATGATGCATGCCTAACACTACTAGAAAATACATTTTTTCCCAATATAGGGGTCTAATTTTCGCGGGCGGACATAACCCTTGAAGTCAAATGACCGCTACAAAAATATAAATCGGGGTGAAGTTCTCTATCCGCCTGCGAAATATTATTTCGCAGACGGACCACTTAAGCGACGCTTGCAAAAATAATTTTCGCAGGCGGACCACTCAAACCGCGCCTGCGAAAATGGTACCTACCCCAAATATTTCTAAGTCTTATCTTCTCCTCCACCCCTCCCCACCACTCATTTCCCTCACTCAGCTTTCTCTCTCCCTCAAACACTTTCCCCTATCCTCAACGCGCGTCTAGGCACCCCCTCCCCTCCCCTCCCCTCCCTCTACCGGCGGCGGCGGTGCGGGGCGGCGGCGACGGCGCGCGCGGGGCGGCGACGACGACGGCTCGGCGGCGGCGGCTCACCTCCCGCCTCCCTCCCAGATCCGGCCGGAGGAGGGAGGGGGGAGGCCGGCAAGGGCGGCGGCGACGACGGCTCGGCGGCGGCGGCTCCCCTCCTCCTCCCTCCTAGATCCGGCCGGAGGAGGGAGGGGGGAGACCGGCGGGGGCGGCGGCGGCAACGACGACGACGCCCGGCGTGGCTCCGGCTGGGGGAGGGCGGTGGCGGCTCCCCTCCCCCCTCCCTCCAAGATCTGGCCGGCCGGAGGAGGGAAGGGGGAGGCCAGCGGCGGCGGCGACGACGACAGCGCGGGGCGGCGGCGACGGCGTGGCTCTGGCCCCGCGATTTTTTTTTGCTTTTTCAATGCATTTTCACAGGCGGGCCATTGCCCCGACTGCGGAAATCATCGATTTTCGCAGTCGTTGGGATGCAGGCGGTCCTCCCATCCGTCTGAAAAAATCACTTTTGGCCGCTTGCAAAAATACTTTTTCTAGTAGTGTAATTAACACAAACTAGCCACCGCTAGCTCAACTGTGCCGTAAGCACTGATGATTGGGACGCGTTTACGGAATGTAACCTTTTATACTGTACTAGTGTAATGGTAGAAATCAAATTTAAACCGTGTTAGCCTGGCAATTTTAAATGCTAGTTAACTTGTATTTAACTATAATATAACTTGTATATAGCTTTTAAAAATCCAATGGTCGTAAAACGGAGGTCGTGGGACCGAATCCCCTCATCTATGCCCATGCTGTGATTTTTTTTCCTTCCTAGTTTGCGCGAATCGTGAAGCAAATCTAACGATTCAAATTTACAAGTTACATTATAATTGTATATAAAGTATAATGTGACTACACGATAATTGTATTATATTTACATTTAATATACTTTTAAAAGAAAATTTATCGATAATTAAACATATAGCAAAAACAATTTGAGATGCCATCATATATACTTCCTCTGTTCCAGGTTACAAGACGTTTTGACTTTAGTAAAAGTCAAATTATTTCAAATTTGACTAAGTTTACAGGTAAATATAGTAATATTTATAATACTAAATTAGTTTCATCGAATCAATAATTGAATATATTTTTTCATAATAAATTTATTTTGGCTTAAAAAGTTACTATTTTTTTACAAGCTTAAAACAATTTAGCTTTGACCAAAGTCAAAACGTCTTATAACCTACTACTCCGTCCTAAAAAAAAATAAATCCTAGCTATGAATTTGGACACATATGTTCAGGTTTAGATTCTTTTTAGATTCTTTTGGGATGAAGGGGGCATATGCAACTGTGTCATCTCGATCTGTGACATGTACGTACGTCGTCGCATGGTGGCATCCAAACAAGCGCTCCAATCGCGCATGCATGCGGCCATGCACGGCAAGCGCGCGCGCCGATCGGTTACGACGTGTTACATGTCAGTCGGCGCGGCGCGCGCGCACGCTGCAGGCGTGAGGACGCAAGCAAGCAAGTCGCATGCACACGCCTCCCACGCCACGCGAATCCAGGCAACTCCCGGCGAAAACCGGCGAATTCTGCAACACGTACACCCGGCTCGCGCCGCGCACGCCAAGCACCGGCGCCCGTGCATGCATGCCGAGACAAAAAAAGCGCCCACGAAATCTGGCCGGTTTCCCCGATCTTCAGTTACTCTAACCGCAGCTAGCCAACTATCTACATCAGCTACTACTACTCCCTCTCCGTCCGGGATTTTTGGATGAATGTAACAGTACTACGAATTTGGACACATATTTCTGTGTATGAATCTGGACAAACTCTCTGTCTTGATACCCAAAATACTTATCGTTTTTAGTTTTTTTTAACATTTGACCATTTATCATATTTGAAAGATTATGAAATTATTATTCATTTTTGTTTGTGACTTATTTTATTATCAAAAGTACTTTGAGTATGATTTTTTTTATATTTACACTAATTTTATAAATAAGATGAATGGACAAACGTTGTAAAAAAAGTTAAAAATAACATCTAATTTAGGATGGAGGGAGTACTAGTTTGTGTCACATCCAATTAAAATCTCTTATATTTTGAGAAGGATGGAGTAGTACACTAGTAATACCTCCGCTTCATATTATAAGACTTTCTAGTTTTGCTCACATTTATACGTATGTCTAACCCTGAAACTGAGGAAGCATTTAGCAGTACTTACCGGCCGGTCTTCATTTATTCGCATATGCATAATAAGAAATCGGTGGATGCAGTTAAGTGGAAAAGCTAAGATATTCAGGGGAATATAAGGGCGTGTAGCTGAATGGGATGCGGCGAATTAATACTACACGTTGTCGATGCTGCTGGATATCACATTCTATTCTATTGCAATCTGCCTTGCTTTTCCTTGTCGAGATTACTCTAGCAATTTAATTTCCCGACTTTAGAGGTTTACATACCTCTTTTGATTGATTGAAGATTGTGGGTTTTGTGTAAGATGCCACTATGGTGTGATCTCTTGCACCTTTTTACACGAGGATGAATTCTAATATCTTGGGTGGACGTACACCCGTTTATTGCATGCCACCTAAATGATTATGAAATTTTTTTTAAAAAAATCACAAGATAGGTTAATATGTAATATATCACTTCACAAACATGCAAGTTCAAATTCGACTTCTACAAGTTGTAACGAAAATAACAAATCAAACTCTAACTGGTATACGTATATTCACAGTTAAATTAATTGTTTTTGTTACAATTTATAGAAGTCGAATTTGGACTTGTATGTTTGTGAAGTAATATATTACATATTAACCTATCATGTCAATTTTTTTAATTTTTTTATAACCATTTAGATGACATGAAAGAAACGGGTGGACGTCCACCCGAGTGTTTAAAACAGTTTCCCCTTTTTGCATGTATAGTATCCCCTTCTCCCCTATATATCAACTCCACGCCGCACACAGACATCTCCAAGATCGGAAAGCTAACAATTCTCAATCCTAAGCAGGCACAATATATCATCACAAACTTGACAATATTATCACGTACTATATACTATCGAAGCATATATTTGTTCTGCACATATAGTAGCTAGCAATAGTAATTAGTACGTGATCTAAGAAAAGAGTGATCGATCTTCGATTTGATCGATAGTATCGTCAATCGTGTGTCCGATCCGATCCGCCATGGAGTGGAGGGACAGCTTCTTGGACCTGATCTTGATCCCTCTCAGCCTCCTCGTCCCCATGGCGTACCACGTCTGGCTGTGGCGCGCCGTCCGCCTCACCCCGCTCCGCACCGCCGCCGGCATCAACTCCGCCACCCGCCGCCTCTGGGCCATCAGCATGACCAAGGTACGTACGTTTCGCCGCCGGTGATCGATCACCGGAGTAAGTACAGAGAGATGGCTGTACACATCTTGATTAATTCTTGGTGCATGGATGGATGGACGAATATGCGCAGGACAACGAGAAGAAGGCGGTGCTGGTGGTGCAGTCGCTGCGGAACGTGATCATGGGGTCGACGCTGGTGGCGACGACGGCGATCCTCTTCTGCACGGGGATCGCGGCGGTGCTGAGCAGCACGTACACCATCAAGAAGCCGCTCAGCGACGCCGTCTTCGGCGCCCACGGCGAGTACATGATGGCGCTCAAGTACGTGGCGCTGCTGCTCCTCTTCCTCGTCGCCTTCCTCTCCCACTCCCTCGCCATCTGCTTCCTCAACGAGGCCAGCTTCCTCATCAACACCTCCCCCACCCTCCTCGCCGGCGGCGATGGCGCCGGTGACGACGGCGGCCGCCGCCTCCTCGGCCTTCCGTCGACGAGGGACTACATGGAGGAGGCGCTGGAGAAGGGGTTCACGCTCAACTTCGTCGGCAACCGCATCTTCTTCGCCGGCGTCCCGCTCCTCCTCTGGATCTTCGGCCCGCTCCTCGCCTTCCTCTCCTCCCTCGTCATGATCCCCATCCTCTACAACCTCGACGTCGTCAACGTCAAATCACATCGCGGCGGCGACTGCGGCTGCGGCTGCGGCAATGGGAAATCATCGGTGGACAAGAACGGCGCCGCAGCCGCCATGGATTGCACGCTTGTCTGACGAAGAAGCAAGCAAAGCAATCTTGGCTCGATCGATGATCGATCTATCTGCAGCGAGATTTGCTCCGGTCCAACAAAAAATACCTCGAGATACCGGTACCTACGGTACCTGCAGCATGCTTGTTCATGTGTGATATAAGTGTAGTGATGGTACAGTAGACTGCCACATTGGTAGTTAATTTGGCTCTATAGCTAGTGCATATGCATGCGTGGACGAAAAAGCTAGTTTCTTGTGGATCAGCAACACGTACGTCAGTGGACGATATAAGTTGCTTCCTAGATGGTACTAGGAAATCCGTTCTTGAGTTCGTTGCATGCATATGACATGGAATCCAACAGCGCGTCTTGCTGTCATTTTTACCAAAGTTGTTGTCCGTTCAAGTTGTTGCTTATTAGGAGTACTATATGTGTTTATGCATGGGCATATTCCTAGTGAGCTTTTTATATCTCGTGTCTCTGTTTGTCCCTTTTGTCATGAGCAAACGATAGATCAATTAACCGATTGGCAGTTTTGCTTAGGTGGCGTGCTTATACATGACACGGTTTCGCTGAAGTGCGGTGCGGGCTGATTTTCTTGGTACCATCACAAAGATCTCTGAGTTGAAAAATACCAGTGCATATGTGTCATTTTCATGTAAGTCCAGATTTCACATGTCATCGATCCTTACGCAGGGTTTTCAATTTCGAAATTAGATTTTATACCCAGGGTTTCCGAAATTTCAAGCCGAAATTATTTGAAAATTTGACTGAATTTGAATAAAATTTTACCAAATTCACAAAAAAAAATGCAAAAAACCAAAAATTTCGGGCGAGATTTGAGCATGCCGGTGGGTGGGGGGGGGGCGAAATTTCGGAAATTTCGAACCGAAATTTCAAACCCTGTCCTTACGTACAATAGTATTTTTTGCAACTCACATATCGTTACGATGGTTTTCTCAAAAATTTTCTCTTTATGGTATTACGGTCGATAGAAAATGGAGAAAAATTGTACCTTGCATTTTTGACCGTTAGATGCACTTTGAGATTCATACATGCTGTAAAGGAGGAAAAGAAATTGATACACGCATGAGGGACTGAACCATCAACGTTTGGCCCAAGCCCACGAAAGTAGCCATCTGCAATTTTAACCGGTACACTTAAATGCATGTTGAAATATATAGTGCAGTGACAAAGGATGTGTGATTTCAAACTTGAGGTCCCGTACGTGTTCAATCCTCAAAACGTTCACAATTTCTTCTTTAAAAATGATTGGAGAGACATCTCTCCCTCCAAATCTCTTTTTCTTTTAACTGCTGTTGCCAGTGGTCACGATCATGCTAGTACTCTCTCCATGCGTTGATCAACACATATTATGTTTGTTTGTTTCTTCTTGCTGAGTTCATTGGTGCTGTCATGTTAAAATTATTGCTGGTGTAAGCGGAAGCAAGATTCCTTAATCGTTGAAGAAATTCTGCTGGTGACTTACTGTTCACTTAGTTTATGTATGCATGTGTCGAGATAAATTTGCACTTCAGTTCTAGCTTATTTACGTTGTACTGAAATTGCGATATAATGTGCATTCACAAATTGTTCTGTTTTTTTGTGGTTGCTATTAGTGGTACTTACTACATTACGACGCTAATGATCTACACTGCTGAATTTAGTGTGTAAGCAATATTTGGTCCTAGATCATGTTTACACGTGGAAGAGGGTGTTTGACAGAGCTCAATATGTAGTATCTTGGCCTTATTCCACTTCATGGTTCCTGAGTTAGATGATATATTGTACTGCTGTTGAGAGAATTTTAGGTTTGCAGCGAAGCCTGGCCTTCTAATTAAACTGGCCTTTATTACTGAACAATCTCTTCATCTCTTGGGCTCTTGGCATTTCTTGTTTTCTTTTGGTGTTACAGCTCGAATATGTCTTGGCATTTCTCGCTCTTCTGATGATTGATGTGCTGAACATTGCCTTTGGATTACTACCTCTCTTCCAGCTCCCATAGAATTCAGAAATCATACAACTTGTATGTTTGCCTATGTATATCCGGTTGAATGTAGAGGCTGGATTTATTCTAATTTTCTAAAAATTGAACTTGGTGTGTGCCTGTATTTGTTATCGTGCAGAGGCTGTAGCATATTTGACAGACTTGCTAAACTCGGCTGTTTCTCTGTTAAGATTCTCACCCAGGCAACTTGTCATGCGACAATTAGGGCACCAAAAACCTTGTTCCGATTTCCCAATGCGATGGCGACGATAAAATTGTCGACGGGAGTCCACGGCCTCTGAATGCGATGCGGCGGCTTCTCCTCGTTGTCTCACGGCATGATGTCACTTAGATGAGCTTCGTCCTCCCAGCATGCTACGACCAGAGTTTGCACTTTCGATTTCGATCAAAATTTACGAAATTTCAGGATTTTCAGCATTTCTAGACTGAAATTATTTGAATATTTAAATAAATTTTGACTGAATTTAAATAAACTTTAACCAAATTCATTAAAAAAGAGAAAAATCTAAAAATTCCAAGCGCGAACATGTGTGGGGGGGGGGTTTCCAAAATTACCAAAATCTCGACTCGGAATCTATACTTTCTATAAAGTTATAACCCACTAACTCTAAAGTTTAACATGCAACCATGCCACATCATCACCCACTAACAATAATTACATATTCAATCTCATGCAAGCATGCAAGAGCATCTACAATCTATTTAATTCTACAATTAAATTAGGGACAATTGCAAATTTACCACTACTTTGAATCACTATTGTAAAATTGCCACTAGAAAATTGCAAAAATGCCACTAGAACTGTCATTCGAGTGGCATCCTTGCAATATTGAAAAAACCGATGGCAAATTTGCAAATGCCCCAAATTAGATTAACATGCAAGCATATTCAATCATCACTTCTCACATTATTTCCACAATAGTTTTACAAATCTCTCTATCATTTTTTTAATATTTAATATGTACATATCAATATGTTTTACATTAAAGTGTGAATTTGATAAATATTGATAAGCCCTAAGATTTGATTATTTTTTTCTTTTTACTCCTAGCTGAATTATAAAAAAAATAGCATTAAAAAATTACTTAGTAATTTCCGCAGTAAATCGCAGGGAATCCCCTAGTTATAATAATTGGCTGTGACACGTAGAGCAGCAGAGGTGCTCGGGGGTAACGATGGGTTCATGCACAAAGACATGGAGGTGCGGCTGCAGGCCTCCAGATCGGCTGTGGCAGCCACAGGCGTGAGGGACCCGGGGAATGGCAACAATGACAAGTGGGGCCTAGGTGGAGCCGCCGAGTCGCGGAACAGTGGTCGGTGGGAGAAAGCAGCTCTCGCCGCTCGAATAGTCAGAGGACAATGAGAAAAGTGGGGAAGCAAGGGGCATGTGCATTTCTGTCTTTCTCTCTACGGTTAGTTTAACAACATACTAATGATAGATTGACGGGGATGTCCTCGAGTGAAGAAAAATTATGGTCCAATGGCATATATATAACGGAACACAATTGATAATCTTCACTCAGAAAAAAAGAGGGGAAACTTCTTGTGAATCTCGAACCATTGGATTACATGGATTACATCAAGATTTGTGTGTACGTGAATTTTTGGGGGCTCTTTCTCCTCTAGCTTCGATGAACTCCTCGCCTAACTCCCGGAATAAACCTACATATTTGCCTTTGGAGTTGGGATAAGGGGTAGGAGGATGGGTTGGGGAACGGAAAGAGAGGCCAGATGGTGGGTAGCGGATACAGGTGAACGTAAGGTATTGCTGGTATAGTTGAAGTTGCAGGGTTGGAGGAGGGCAGGGCCAATGGTAGGCTGCTAGATCCGAATATGTCATGAGGTGGGGGCATCTCGCCGTTGCCATGCTTGGGGAGAAGGAGATGTAGGGAAAGGGGAGAACGGCCAACGGGACCTCGCTAGCGCTGTTGGCACCTTCCAACGCTGGCGAGGCCAAGAGGCAGGGAGGAAGAATGGGAAGAGGAAGGCTAAGGTTACTAGCACGAATCTTGATGTAGTCCTAGCCATTGGACTAAGATTAAGGGGTTTTCTATCAAATGTTTAATAGATAATCCCATAGAGAAATTGCCAATTTCCAGTGGTATATATATAAGGGAACTAGATAATTTGACACTACTACATAATGGATTTTTGCGTGCAACGATTTTCACGTGTGGATCTTTCAACCATCTGTAAAGAAGCGTCTGCAAAAATCGCTATTTTTCCATGCGGGATGATTATGTCGCCCGCATGCAAAAATGGAAAACCAAAAAAAAAGAAAATCCAAAAAAACAAAACCCTAATCCTAAAGCTGCCGCCACTGTCCTCCCCGCCGTCACCATCGCGGTCGCCGTCGTCGTCGTCGCCGACACCGTAGCCGGATCCGTAGCCGCCCTACTGTCCGCCCGCCGCCGTATCCGGGCGGGGGGCGGTCGCCCACCGCCGCGCGCACGCCGCTCCCGGTCGCCGAGCCCGCCGCCGAGAGCCCGCCGCCGCCAAGCCCGCCACGGGAGGAGAAGGAGAAGGAGGCGGCACCGGAGGAGGAGGTGAAGGAGGCGCGCGGCGCCACAGAAGGAGAAGGTGAGAGAGAGGAAAGTGAGAAGAGGAGACGAAAGTGAGGAGAAGATAATGGGGAGAGAGAGAGAGAGGAGATAAGGGGGCCGGGGGAGAGAGAAGGAAATTTAAAATGTTTGGAATAGGATGAGAGGGAACAAGTATTTTCCTGTGTGGGTAGATTAGGAGGCCCGCACGCGAAAATCGGCTTATTTTTGCGTGCGGGCCTGTTAAGTGACCCGCACACGAAAATTGATTTTCCTGTGCGGGCGACGGTCCAGCTCCGGTCCACCTATTTTTCTGTGCGGTTTCACTTACGGCCCGCCTGTAAATTAAACGGTCCGGCGTCCAGGAAAATATTTGCTGTAGTAGTGTGAGTAGCATAGAAATTATTTTCTCTACAAATATATAGTTTTAGAAAAGAATGAAACTTTAAAAACTTTCAACATTAGTATCATTTTAAAATTCTAGATTCATTGCATAGAAATCATATTTGTAGATTTTTTTTGTATGTTAATTTTTAAGTATTACAGCTTTTTATACTTTAACAATTTTCGCTACATCAATGAGTATATACGAGTATTCGAGAAGAAAACTGTTATAGTACTTTAAACATAATTGACTAAAAAACGCTACTAATTAGCTTTCAATAAAATTAAGCTTGGTGAACTTATTATGCATAAAGAAAACCTTCGGATGGCACTCAAACACATACCTCTAACAAGTTAATCAAGAATAATTATATATATGACTACGAGATCTGCTTTAAGCCAGACAAATCGATTAACCGTTTCTTGATTGAATCATGCAACAAGAATTATTCATCTGGTTAAGAGGATGTCGACTAGTAGCTCGCGTCTGCCCTCCTTGATTTGAAGCAGCTCAAACAATCTAGACAAAAGATATCTTGCGTCTTTCTTTAGGCCATGCACTTCGACGAGTAATGTTAGGAGGTAGAAGAAAAAAACTGGCACCCTGTGTAACACAATTACCACGGCAGAAGTAACTTGTTAGTAACATATACTCACTCCCTACATTTTGTAAGGCATATTTTAGTTTTACATGGTCGTTTAATTGAATTTTGAATGTCAGAATAAAATTTAATAAGATAGTCCATGATAATATAAGACACTATGCAAACATGCAAGTCTAAATTCGATCGATATATGAAGAAATAAAAATAACAAATTTTATCTACACTATACGGGTACTATTGACTGTCTGATTTTATTATTTTTGTTTCTCTAGTTGTAGATTAAATTTAGTCATGCATGTTTGTATATAGACTTGTATCATCACAAATGATGTTACTAATTTTTTTCAATTTTTTCTATAACTATTTGAGTCGCATGTAAATGATAGGTGCCGTGGCACCTAGGTGTAGAAAATCCTTGTCCTTTTGAATGTAAATCTATCTTATACTAGTAAATTATCTCTAGTTTTTAAAAAGAAAATCGCTTTTTATAGCTGTACGCCTGTACATTTAAACAGACTCAAACTATATTATACAACTGTATATTGGTAGAATCCTCATATGCCTGTAGGTTATCTGAATCTGAACAGTTTAGTTTTAAAACGTGCAAAGTTTGAGCCTAGCTTGGAATATATATATGAGCGCTAGCTACTCGTAAATTTGGATGAAGTGAGCATAATATCATTCAAGGAATTAGCAAGCAAAGGGTTCTTACTTGATGTAATCCAAGGGCACGAAGTTCTTATGGAAATCCTTGGCGATAAAAATTAAGGCAATAACTGCAAAAAAAAATCATTACTCTCGTGGATCACTTCAATTATTATTATTCAGGTCCATGCATGTATATACGCAAGGTAAATTCTCTATATATATATGAGATGACGAACTGACTGGTTTTGATCCGGGTGATGTACTCGTTGGGGAATCCCTGCTTCCGGACCTGCGACGACAAGACGCTGAGCTTGTAGAACGCGTACCCCAGCACAGCATCGACGAACAACGAAGGATTCATCTTCAGCAGTTGATAGCATCCAACACACGCGATGAGTGCACCTAATTTCAGACTTTCAGTAATCAAATTAACCACGCAAATTGTACATGTGTTCATCAATAAGTATAGTATGTAGTCACAGATTAATGTCTGACACTGAGTAATTTTAACGATAAATATAGTCAATTACCCGTCGATCGAGCGTCGACGTTTCCGAAGAAATGCTTCTGATTGTTTTCACCCCCTTATAGTACGTACTCTAGGTACTTACCGGTGGGCATGCCGATATTGTAATCCTCAATATCGAAGGCGGTCTTGAGCGAGAAGAGACGGTTGAAGTTGTCCACCAGCGGGCGGAGCACGTAGGCGGCGGCGTCCCTCACCGCCTCCCGCGCTGGCCGGTCCAAGTCCACGATGGGGCCGCAGGTGCACAAGCTCGCACCGGCCGCACGAGCGCGGCGCCGTGCCCGCGCCGCGGCGGCGGCGGCGGGTGGCAGTGGCACCACCACCGATGGCGCCGTGCGGGCGGCGGCGGCATGCGGTGAGGCGCACGCGCGTGGGGTAGCGATGCCCGCGGGTGGAGGTTTAGGTGGCCTCCGCCGCCGCCGCAGGAGCGCGCCGCGGCGTGACGCCGACGCCGACGCCGACGCGCAGAGCAAGATGCGGACCGAGAAGCATGGGCGGCGCCGACGACGACGCCATGACGTACGGCGTGTGAGCCCACAACGATCGAACCTGTACTGTGACACGGCGGATGGTGTACTCCCTAGTCCATCCTTCCCCTAAAAAGTCAAGCTAGGATAAGATGAGATGTTTCCTAACACAATAAACCCGGACAAAAACTCGTACTCCCAGATTCATCTCATATTATTAACCGGAAGGAGTATATCTATTTTTTTTTCCTTTCACGCGTGATGGCGTCGCAGGTCTTGTCCTCTTTGCCGTACTCCCTCGCCGTCACGCGCTTTGGCACTGCGCCGCCGCCACGGCGAGCCGCCGCGCGGGTCAGCCTCCGCCGCCAGCAAACGTCCCGCGACGGCGCCCTCCTCCTTCGCTCCCTGACGACGACGCGCTCGGTACGTAAAGCTCGTGCCGCCGCTATCGATCTCTCTCTTAAATTCTCCTCTCCTCTGATGATCAGAGATCTCTCTTGATCGGTGGAAAATTGCAGCGGTGCGCTCCGGCGGCAGAAGGAGGCGGCGGCGCCAAGGAGGCGGCGGAGGCAGCTGGCGACCCCGACGACGAGCTGTGGCCGTGGGACGAGTTCCCCGAGGACGCCGTGTTCGTGAAGGACGACTTCGCCACCGTCCAAGCCAAGTTCTCGTGCGAGTCGGGGGAGGCCGCGGCCGCGCTCAAGGACGCCGCCGCCGACGTGCTCCGCCCGTTGCTGGACAACTTCAACCATCTCCGCTCCCTCAACACCGTCTTCGACACCGAGGATTACCATGTCGGCATGCCCTTTGGTAAGTAATTAACGTGAGTGATGCAATTTCGTACTACCTAGCAATCGCATTACAACTACAACTAGCCCAATTTAATTTTACGAGAAACAATTTTTTTCCTCATTACATAGATTATAAGATAGACGCACACAATCGCACACACCACACTAAACTCGCTCCTAAATACATGGCTGTGTTAGCATGCAGGGTATGGGAACACATTCCCTCCGCACGGAAAACGGAGCGGTTCATTAGCACTTGATTAATTAAGTATTAGCTATTTTTTTTTCAAAAATGGATTAATTTGATTTTTTAAGCAACATTCGAATATAAACTTTTTTTTAAAAAAAACATATCATTTAGCAGTTTAAAAAATGTGCGCGCGGAAGACGAGGGAGAGTTGTTGGGAACATGGGGTTCCAAACACAGCATTCAAAGAGATGGAGTTCTTCACTTAAATCTTTCGCAGCGCGTGGTCTGCCTCTTTAGCATGGCGTCTAAGTGTTGACGAGTAACGTGATGTGATTTGATGAGCGCGTAAGTAACTATGTTTTATTTTGCTGTTGAAATATTAGGTATGCTCATTGCATGCATTGGGTGTTATAACCTCTTCAAGATGAATCCAACCACGTTCATAGACGCGGCCCTCGGTTACACGTTCTACAGGCTCTGCATCGTGTCGTCGCAGCTCCGGAGAAGAGGCTTTTCCAACGACCTCATCATCCGGGTTAAATTTGGTCAGTTACTGCATCCGCAATCTGATTCAGCTGTTTCCTATTTCTTAAAAGCAAATTCTTTTGGTATCGCTATGCCTCTCGATGATTTTTCCTTTGCAGTCGTCATGTTGGTTATGGCTATCAATGATATCAACAACTGCATTTATTGGCTTGATGCTATCAGGTATGAATGTATGATCCACACACTCACAATGTGTTATGGTTTTTTTTTTAAAAAATTTTAACCATATCGATCCAAACTAAAAATTAGACATACCGCCTAATCGAGAGGGGTTGATCGATCCCAAAGACTATTTGGTTGTGTTTTTTGTTTTGAGAGGTTGGGAGCCCCTCTCCTTCGCACATAAAACAAAATGATAGATTAACGCATGATCAGACATGTAAAACGTCTCTGATATGTAAAACAAAAAGATCATGGACGTCCCTTTAAGGGGCAAAATGACTAGGCCAGATTAGATAAAATTTGAAGGAAAAAAATAATTAGGTGATTGAAAATAGTAGACCAAACTATTGTTTCATGCATGGTTGCATATTCCTTTACATATTGACTTGCTCCTTTACATTATATTGACTTGCGTTGACATGCTGTAATTAACTACGCGACATGCATGCATGTACAGGGCACCTGTCTATTTCCTCTAGAGCTTAACGTTTGCTTTTGAGTTGGCTGGTATTACGGCAGTCCCAACCCATACTACTAGACATGGTTTTCATAAACTCTACAGCATCAAGAAACTAGTATTAGACAATATTCTTCCAATGCAAACATCACTATTCCATACTTCAATTTAATACTACTTATCTCACATGATGTCGATGTCTTGGATGTTGTGTAGAAACCATGTCTCATGCAATACATGGTTTTCTTCTCTTTCCTCATTTATTCACTTGCTACATCAATTTTTTTTGTCCTAGGTGACAACTTATTTAATGCTATGGACACTATCCTAGTCATTGGGTTGGAAATGCCCTTAAGAAGTGTGTGAAGTATCTTTTGGCCTCAGTTGCCCTCTTGGGTAAGTCATGAAAAAGGAAGACGCGAGCTGCGCAAGCTGCTGCCCAAGTTTGAACTTGCACCTGTGTCTGAGAGGCTATCAAAATGGTAATAATTAATACTTCATCCGTTTCATATTATAAGACTTTCTAGTATTGTCCATATTTATTATATGTATATTAATGAATCTAGACATATATATGTGCATATATTTATTAACATTTATATGAATATATGTAATGCTAGAAAGTCTTATAATCTGAAATGAAGGTGGTAGATCGATGTGTATTCATGGATGGCCAGGCTATACTACATAATTGGCTGAGGAAATTTTGTTCTGCCCTACTTGGCACACTTTGAGAGATGGTTATTTGGTTAATCAATTACTTTGCGTTTCAGAAGATATGTGATTCAGGCTCCAATGAAGTGCAGTTGCTTCTGTAATTTCGTCCAGTTTATTATGCGTTTGGATCAAACAAGGGGGGTTAACAAGTTAATTCTCACTGTAAATAGACAAAAGCATTGCTGTCTGATTGAGATCGAGACCATGTTTTACAATGGTGCTGCTACGTGTTTGGCCAGTTTTTGAACCTATGACCGATGACAGTCAAATGAACAAAAAAAAAATCAGTAAGTTGGTAAAAACAATACTCCATCACGAAATTATACAACTACTGCTTTCTAAAGACACCAGGGGTGGATCTACCCATTAGATAGGGTGAGTCGACCAACTCAGCTACGACTCGTGTCACCCCAAAGTCCAAATTGAAAATTAAAAATATAGCGAAGGGTGATCCAAAGTAAATTCCTTAGCAATAGAAGGTGCTCCAAATTGTAAATTTACTGTATGGAGATATATAGTTAGGACAAAACATTCTTCTGAAATTCACCCTTGGTTTTCAGAAGATTAATTGTGAGGATCAGATAATTCCTTGCATATTTTTTTCACAAAAATATATAAAATAAACAAATGTAGAAAGATACTATAGAGTAAATACTGGCATCCTGCGTCAAGAAACAAATAGTCATTAACCAAGTCAAATGATGCACAGTGACATATATAAGAACATAAGCAAAAGTATATAAAAACATCAATGATAATATCCCAAATGGGAAAAATAAGGATATCGGTACGAGAACAGAAGTGAGGCATATAAAGAAAAGGATTGCACAATACTGTTTTAATCAAACGACGAATTTAGAAGGCTGCTGTGCCAAACAATGGTCCAAAACATTAACACAGTCGTAAGGAATACGTAATGCTAGAAAGGTCAGCTTGAAAGGTGACATGGAGATATATATAAAACAGACACACAAAACAACCATTTCATTTCTGAAATATACCAAATGTGCAAAATATAAATCTTCATTGGCCAATTACACAAGTATTTCAATCAAAAGACTAGAACGGGGAAAAAAAATTACAAAAGTATTACAGCCTACAAACCCCATACCCCCACCCAAAAAGAAAAAAAAAATGAATAAGTTCACTGGAGGTCCCTTAACCACAAAACCAGAAATCTTCACCTCTAAACTATACAAAACCGTCTAATTTAGGTCCCAAGTCAGTATAGTTGCCTGGTTTTGCTGACGTGGCATCCTAGTCAACAAAATTAATAAAATAAATATGTGAGGTCCTACATGTCAGTGAGAGAAAATGATGTGGGCCCCACATCTATTTTTTCTTTTATTTTTCTCTTCTCTTCTCAACTTCTCACAGGTGGGCGGGCAGATGCGAGTGTGCGGCCGATGGCGGAGCGGGCGCGGCGGCCGGCGCAGCGGGGAGAGATGCAGCAGTCGCCGCGGCGGCGAGCGGCCGGAGCGGCGGCGGCGGAGGGCGAAGTCGGTGGAGGGCGAGTGCGGCTGCGAAGCAGGCAGGACGGGCGGCTGTCTCCCGGTCATCGGCGCCGCCCAAGAAGTACAACGCCACCCGCTGCAGCGTGCTGTTCGACTCCGTCGCGCACGCCGACCCCGCCGCCAGGCCGTGGTCGATCAGGATGCCCACCGAGCACAGCGCGTACTGCATCGCCGACCGGTTGATGGCGCGGATTGCGTTGTTGGCCGTGCTCCGGGCGCCGTCCAACGACTTGTGGAAGGGGAGCAGGATGAGGTTGGCCTTGCAGCTGTGCGTCAGGAGGCACACGTCGTGGTGCATGCTGCTGTACAGCGACACAACCACGTACGGGCTCAACGTCACCGCGCCCAGCGGCGCTTGCTGCTCGAAGTAGCGGAACGTGTTGACGATGTGGTCGGACGAGGTCGGGTTGCCGCTGCAGGCTCAGCTCTCCGTCGCTCCGCCTGCCTGCTCGCCCACCGTCGCCGCTGGTAGCCGCGCTCCCCAATCGCCGCCCGCCGCCTGCTCCGCTCTCCACCGCTCCGCCTGCCTGCATGTCCACCGCCGGCACTAGCAGCCACGCTCGCCCGCCGCCGCCCGTCCTGCCTGCTTCGCAGCCGCGCTATCCCGCCGCCGCCGCGGCGACTGCTGCATCTCTCTCCGCTGCGCGCGACCGCCACGCCCGCTCCGCCGTCGGCCGCACACACGCATATGCCTGCCTGCGCGTGAGAAGTTGAGAAGAGAAGAGAAAATAAAAGAAAAAATAGATGTGGGCCCACATCATTTTCTCTCACTGACATATGGGCCCTATATATTTATTTTGATGCTACGTCAGCAAAATCAGGCATCTATACTGTCTTGGAACCTAAATTAGACAGTTTTTGTATAGTTTAGGGGTGAAGATTTCCGGTTTTATGGTTAGGGGATTTTAAAAAATCTCGCTGTTAAGTTGAGGGACCTCCGGTGAACTTATTCCAAAAAAAAGGTGGTGATCACCTTGGGCCAAGTGGGCTTTGCTCATTGGGCCTCCAAGGTGCAAACCAAGCTGTGCCTATTCCCCTCCTCCGGTCGTCGGTGTGTCGCCGCCGCCAACCCATCGCCTCGCCGCAACCGCGACCGCGCCGGCGAGCTGCACCGCCCCCGTCGAAGTTTCCCGCGGAGCTCGTCGTTCTCGAGCCTCTTCCGATGCTTTCTGCACGGCGAGCCGGCGCCGGCGGCGCCGCCGGGAAGACGTCGCATGCTCGCCCCTGCAACCCTGGTTACCCGCGGCGCTCGTCGGTCCCGATGACCGGCGGCGACGCGACTAGACCAGCCGTGGCGAGGGCGCTTCGCCTTCCGGGTAGTGGGGGAGGGGCGGGTTTCCAGCGGCGGGAGCCCCACCGATGGCTCCGTCCCTGCTCCTCCTCCCGGAGTGGAGATGGCGCCGCCGCCGTTCTCGCCTCGCGATCCGGGAGCAGCGACATGGGCCTCGGGGTTTCTTCTTTCTCGCCGTGCTCGCTTCCCCGCCGCGTCGACGCTCCTCGCCGGCGGCCAGTGGTAGGTGAAAGTTTCTCTCGGATTTCTCTCCCGATGCAGAAATGCTGAGTTGCTGCCTCTGCAGTGGTGTTCGCCGGCTGCTCCTCCTCCTCCTCCTCCTCCTCGTGTGGAGGTGCAGAGCGTCCGGAAGAGGCGAATGAGCGAGGAATGGGAGGCGTTGAAGGCAGCCATCGCCGACATGTTCCGGCCCTTGCTGCGAAACCTAGCTGACATTTGCTCTCTCCGCAGCGCCTACGACTTCGAGGACTATCAAATCGGCATGCTCTTTGGTGTGTTTGAGTTGAGTTCTTACCGCAATTAACAATGCCGTCGATTGTATATCCTTCTGATCACCAGACCACTTATGTTATTCGGTGAATGTGTATCAACATTTGCAGGTGCGTTTCTCGGATATGTCGGGTGCTACCAGCTGTGGAAGGCGGCTCCTTCCGTCTTCGTTGATGCTGCCCTTGCCTTTGTGTTTTACAAGCTCAGCGTTGTGTCCTCAGAGCTGCACCGGCAGCGCAAGACAAACAGCTTGATCACGCGGCTTAAATTCGGTATTCATTTTCTTCGTATTTGATCAGCAGTTTAAGTCATATGTAGAATTGCATCTCCAAAAAAAATAGAGACATAACATTAATAACCTCAAGTAAGAAGCTGGCCTTTTTCCAAGGTTTGATCACTCATTTTGAGTATTGATGAATCACTGATGGAATATTTACCCTGTTTGGATGGGAGGATTTCCGTAGCTCAACAGTGCTATAGTATCAAGTTGATACATCATGTAGTTGGCAAAATCAAATAAAAGAAATGGTATAAACTTACAGTCCCTTTTCTTAGTTAGAAGGTGGATATGTTTTGGAGCTTGGGTGCAAGTAGTTCTCAGTTTAGTTTGTTCTATGCCTAGAAATTATAACCTCAGGCTATCTTATTTATTGACTACTATTCAATGCAGGGACCATACTTATCATGGTTATGAAAGACATCAAGAAGAACTATGTACTCCTGGACATTATTAGGTCAGTATCTATTTTAAAACTTTTTCTTTGTGAGAGAGAGGTAGGAATTCTATCGAACTTATTAACAGATGAAAAGGAGGTTCAAAGTTGCAGGACAAAATCACTGCTACAACTGACAGGTCAAACTAAAATGAAAGCAATTGACAGGCCTACCATCAGGACTGCCAGGAGATGGTTCCTTGTTGCCTGATACTAATGTTGGAAAGCCCTTTGTTCTTGTTATACTACAAGAATACTTGGTGGCAGTCGCTAGTTATAGACTGATAGGAGAATGCTGGCGCTGATAGTAGCGTAGTGCTGTAGTTTCATGGTGGTTTTGATATGCTTCCTGCTTTTGTTGGTTTTTGTTTAGGCAGTGAAGCCAGAGCTGGAGATTGAGAATCTGAGATAATATTATGCCCCTGTGTTTAGAAATGAACTTCTTCTCCTACCATTTGGAGCTCCTTGCCCCTGGGATCTGAATTCCGAGAGCCCTCTTAAACGATACTTTCTAGGACTAAATATTTTTCAAAATTTCCAGATATCCTCTAACTATGAATTTCAAATGTTAATACGAAATTACTTATTCTCTAGTGCACATCTATCTAAATTCCATGTGTGATGCTGTGGATAATAGAGGTTATGTTATGCCATACACACAGTGGTTGCTAGCTCTTTCTGGCATCAGTAAAATCCTTATTTGCGAAGATTATCACCATCCTAGAAGCAATGATGGAAAATTATGTTTGCAAAGAGCAGACCAGAACAACACAATTTTTTATTGAACATTTTGTATAATTCAAAGAGGAATTTACATAAAAGAGCACCATATGCTGTAGAAAGTGTTGCATGTTTCTTAGGGCCAAAAAAGTGTTGCATATTGAGGTCATGTTACTTTTATACTAAGAATATGGGTGACAAAAGAAGTTAAGTTACTGAGAGGACTTACAGCATACTCCCTCCACCCTGAAAAAAACGAATCTAGGACTGGATGTGACGTATTCTACCTCTATCCAGATTCGTAGTACTAGGATGTGTCATATCCAGTACTGGTAGTAGGCAAAAAAGAAAAAAAGGGATGGGAAAAAGGTTAAAGAATCACAGGGCCATAGGGAAGTAGCTGGAGTGTTAGAATTTTGCCAATTAACTTGTGAATTTCAAAGAGACAATGCTTCTTCTACAGTTCTACTGCAATAATACTGGGGCTGTTTTCTCATAGTTATTTTATTTCTCTTGTTGATATTTCATTCGCTGCTAACTAAACTTTGTTTCATGATACAGAATGCCGGTTTTCTTCCTCTACATTTGTGCGTTCGTATTCGATGTTGCTGGTATGAAGAAGTATGCCAGGCGCTCACTTATTTCATTGTTTAATCTGCTGAAATCTAGAGGTGGCATACAAGAAATATATAGGATTATGTGGTATCCTGGTTATATATCTCCATATGATGATTCTGCTGACTGGTGATGCATTTGTGTGAGTGGTTCCCACTTAGGAGCTTGTTCTAGGAAGGATGGAGCTTGTTCTAGGAAGGATGCCCTCCCCTTCACAAAGTTTTGTAAAGTATAATAACGAATAAATAGCTATGAACGTATGGTGAGTCTCTACAAAAGAAACATTCTTCACTGTTTAAACATCGACCTCTCGTTGATTAGTACTGCATCTGTTTCCCTGTGGAGTTTCCTTCTTGAAAAGCCTTTTTAGCTGAATAAGTTGTGCTTAAGCTTGGAATAAAATTAGCTCAGAATTTGTGTGACCATGTGCGTATATATATATGCAATGTTAAAAGGAAAAATAATTACTAGTGAGAATTCTGAATAAATTGTATTGAGTCATTTGAAGATCCTTAAGCTTGATACTCTCTTTTGATAGACCGCGAATTAGATTTTCAAGTAAATTAATTGCACATTACACTATCTATTACTCTATAGCTAGTACCAAGTATCAAAGAACCTTAGGATAGGACAGTTTCACATGACTCCGTCTACACTAGTTTTGGAGCAATTTGGTGCAGAGAACATCTCTCCCAATAGGCGTCGAGGGAAATATCCAGCGAAAACCCCTAAAAGCTCTCTAAATAAATGAAAATATTACAGATATAGATATAGGCAGGAAATCCATTACCATCAAATCTCCAAATCTTAAGTACAAACTTGATTTGGGAGTAAGAAAAGGATAAATTCAAGGTGAATAAATCAAGATGAATACAAATAGAAAGATATATTAAAAGTAACTCGTGCATCTTCCTTCTCATGTTTCAGTCTTCACTACATATCGATATATATAAGTCAGTTTCAGAAACACGCTGGTAGATCCTCCATCAAAGCTGGAAGAGCATATTTTGCGTATTTCTTCATCCCGGACAAGTCCCACATGAACGAAAGATAATATATGTAAAACATAGGAAGCCTGATTGCACAAAGAAAGCATGGTCAAAGCTTGTATAATACATAGTGCATGCTTAAGCAAATACGGCATAAAAAATGCAAATCCCTCAAGAACCCCCAAATGCCGAGATAGAGTTTGAGTGGATGATTTTTTTAAACACAAACCTGATAAAATCAAGAGGGGATATCATATTGCGGAAGTCCCTGAAGGTTATGAAAAAGAGGATAACTGCATAAAAGAACACATTAGATCACTCGTGCAATTTGAACATCATCTGAGCACTTACGTAGTTTCTTTATATCACAATAACATGAGCAATTGTATGTTGATTGTTGCCTTTGTAATATTTCCCTTTTACATTTTTCACTTCCTCCAGTTATAAATAATATTGACTAAATTATACTTTGCACTAGGTTTAGCGCATATTTCTACTTTACACCAGAGTGTTCCCTCGAAAGCTTAAAATATATTCCCACGATATATATGCCTTATAGGTACACTTTGCTTGATATAAAGTGTGATTATTCTAAATATTTTGTGTTTAGGACAAGATTATTTGATCAAACTCCTGAAACTTTAACGAGCAATAATTTCTTAAATGCATGGTTAAAAAATTGATATGCATAGATTTGCCTTGAAGGGCACCATTATAATGTTATAAGCATATTAGACTAAGATAAAAGCAATTACCAATATCAATTCCAAAATATTCAATATTATGACTAGATGAAAGATCTTGTAACCCAAAGAAGCACTACCTCCATTTTTAATGAAACCGTCTTATTAAAAAATTACAAATCAATAAAATTATAAGTCATGCTTAAAGAACATTTAGTAACAAATTAAATTATAATAAAATAAGTGATATTTTTTTAATAAGATGAATGGTGGAACGTTTCTTTAAAAAATCAATGGCATCATATATTAAAAATAAAAGAGAAGGGAGTACCTAATTTAATGCGTATGATCAAATCGGCAGAAAAGCCGCGCCTCCGCACGTCCGCCGCGATGACGCTGAGCTAGTAGAAGGCGAACGCCAGCGCGGCGTCGAGGCACAGCCACGGCGCGGCCTTCCACAGCTGGTACACGGCGATGCACGCCATGAGGGCGCCGAACGGCATGCCCAGGTGGTACTCCTCGGTGTCGTGCGCGTACTCGAACCCCCGCATGTCGCCGAAGTTGTCGGCGAGCGGCCGGAACACGCCGGCGGCCGCCGCCGCCTCCCTCGACTCGCGGGCGAACCTCTCGCGGACGGCGGCCTTGCTGAAGTCCGTCGCGTAGAACTCCGCCACCACCTCCTGGCTCGGCCCCCACGGGGGCATGACCTCGTCGGCGGCGGGGCGCCGTGGCAACGCCGCCGTCGCCGCCGTCGCCGTCCGGGCTGCGACGGAGGCGGTGCCCGGGAGACGGAGAGGACGATGCGTCCGGGCGGAGTGCGGCGGATGGATGAGGCGCGCGTGCGCCGGCGGCGTGGAGACCCGCGGCCGCGGCGCCGCGCAGAGCAGCGCGGCGGCGGCGGCGGCCACGCCAGGAGACGAGATGCCAACCTGCGACGCCGCCATTGCGCCGGCGAGAGGTATTAGCTAGTTGGTCGCGTCAGCCCGTATCATGTTAGGTCATACAACTATAATTACTCCGTATTATATACAGAGAATACTTAGCAAACGTGAAACATGCCAAAATGTACGTGTTCATCGAGGAGTGAAACTCAACCATGCTATAATTAATTAGGTTCAAAGCGATTCGTAGAGAACCATATTTGTTCCGTGTTATCCCGGACGTAGTCAATCATGTTATCATCAGGTTCAATAATAAAACGACTACTATAGTAGCGAATTTTCTTTTTTCTCCGTATTACATACATGCCTCAAGTAGTCAAGTGCACCATCATATCGTATATCACTCAAACTTTTCTAAACTGCCGATCGCGCGACAGCGACGACATCAGCGGGCGCAGGCCAATCGAGTTAGCAACAAGTTCGCAGAAAAAACCAAAGCACATATATTTCAGATATAAAATGGGCCAGCTTAAAATGTGCCAACATGTGTCGATATGACGATATCCCTTCGAGCATCACGGTGCTACCCATCAAAAACAAACTGGATATATGTGTGACATAGGGCAGCAAATCAAATCCTGAATATATCTAGCTAATAAATCCAAACAAACTGGATTATATGTGTGACATAGGGCAGCAAATCAAATCCTGAATATATCTAGCTAATAAATCCACTGAACCTATCTAGGTAAACTTCCTATTGCCTGCATAGTATCAACCTCAACCTCCTATTATCTGCATAATGTCGACTCCTGGGCCAAAGTACTCTTCACATCTTCGATGGCAGTTAGCTACCGTCTGTATAAAGAGAATTCCATTAGAAACTATACAGGAAATAGGGAAGGAAATGTTTAAGTAAATGGAAGCATCCAGAAACTGTGCATGAAACAAATGCAGTGCAGTACTTGTGAAAGGTTAGTGTCAGATATTCACATCTAGTTGCGCTACACAAAACTGTTATAGAACTTGGGCTGTAGTTGCATGTGGTATTCATGTCATGGACTGAACAATCATGGTATTTTCAGAAAGACATTATACATTCACTTCATTTCATCAGAGACTACACATGAGAAGATAAGGCATTTCAGTACTTCACCTCATTCAATCAGAGACTATACATAAAATTCATGTCATTTTTTAATGCTCACAGCAACAAATTATGGTCAGGAATTCATCTGATGCCATGTATTACCTATGTTACAGAATGTAAGACATTTTATCCCTCTGCTACAGAGGCTTACATTGTTTAACAGAGGGAATAGTATTTAACAAATTATTTTAACTTGAGCTCTGTGCCGTCTTCAGACATAGGGAGTAATTACTAGACTTTCGTTTAAGATACTACAGCCTTCTCTTTCATTGAAGAAGATACCCTAAATCCTAGACAGGAAATGGTACTGATCCATTAAACACTAGCAGGATAAAACCAGTCAGAACATCTGAATTCTTTCTTAAAGAAACCTGAATAGTAGTATGTAGTGACACAAGAACAATGCAAGAGTGAACTTCCACTAATGTTCAGAATGTAGTTTTCAAAACTACAAAATATTCAAGATACCATTCCTAGAACAGCATTCCGCAGTGCAGATAACATTGCAAACTATCATATACTATAAATTGCAGATAACATTGCATTCAGCAGTGCAGATAACATTCCAAGAATTTACAGAAGCACAAATCACCCTAGGTATTTCACAAATCACAACTATACAAGAGTTGCACTGCTTGCGAAGAACAGATCATGCATACACAAAGGACAAATCAGCCAAGACCAGCATATATTAGTCATAAAGCCCCCAAACTAGTAGCAATTGAAAGAAGTATGTAACAAGATCATCGACGGAAGCTTACCCAAAAATACGGATGAAGTCCACCACAATCGGCGCGATCTTGGAGAGGATGTTGTATATCTTGTTAGCCTTGTCGCACACTTTCACCGCGATAATCGCCTTCTCCTCGTCAGTCACCGCAACGATCACCTTCTCCTCTCCCTTGAAAGCGAGCGCACCCACGAAGAGGCACAGGGCAAGGATCAGTAGATTGAGCGAGTGTTTCTTCAGAAACTCCAGAATCGCCGCCATCTTGCCGCCATGCTCTTGGGGAGGTGGAGGGGCACGCAGCACAGCATCCACCGCCACCACCGCATCCTGGAGAGACGGCGCCGGGTCCGCCTCCGCCTTCTTGCAGGACGGCGGCGCGGCTCTGAGACGGGGGCAGAACCCGATGGTGGTCGCCATCCGCCCTGTGGGAACCCTCGATTGATTTAGCATTTCGCCTACCCACTACCCTCGTCGGCGGTGGACGCGAGGGAGGAGAGGAACTGAGGAAGGATCTACTTACCCGTGCCGTCGCCGGCGAGGTGGACGCGCGGGAGGAGAGGAGTGGGGCGCGCCGCGGCGGCGGCGGCGAGACCGTCCACACCCGCCACCGATCTGAGGACGCCGGAGCGGATGCCGGCGAACGCCATGGATCGCGCGGTGGGGAGGAGGTGGACGGGGAACCAGAAGTACGGTCGGTCGTTCTGCTCGGGTTCGAGTTGGTCCGGTCGGCTTGGGCTCCTTCTTAAACCCTGAAATCTTTGCATTTTAACCCTTTAAGAAAACTTACTTTACAAATAGATCCTAAAATACTTATTACACAAATCATGGAGCCATCTCGGCATATTTGCAAACGAAAACTAATTTGTGAATAAAATTTTATATACATGTTCTTAGCTATCTAAAAGCAAATGCTAAAAATAAACTTCGATGAAAAACCTCAAAATCAGCTTTAAATTTAAGGTTGAAAATTCAAATTTTGACTGATAAGTATAAGCATAAGCGAAAAGATGAGGCCCTCAATCTTTTCGGGGTTGTTCGGCTGTGATTTTTATGGTAGCACCACATTTGCATCCACAAAAATAGCAGCCGACCAAGACCAACTTGGCGCCAAACAATAGCACCAAAACCACCCCCCCCCCCCAAACCCCTCTCTCCCGTGGCATCATCAGCTCGGTGAAACAACATGGTTCTAGGGTCGGCACCAACGAGGTTAGCGCTGGGGTGAGTTATCTCAACGCCTAGGTATGGCCTTGGCATGTTCACACTCATCTTAAATACTTACTATTGTTTAATGGTATGGCTCTAATTTCGCAAGTTGTAATGATAACTTTTAAAACGGACAAATTTATATTGCCATGGATCCAATTGACCCTTATTAATTTGGTAAAAAAAATTTGAGAAATGCATCGAAGGGGTAAGCAGTAGTATATCTCAAATACCCATAAAATTTTAATGGCACAACTTGAATATCGCGAATTGTAATGACATATTTTAAGATCGGATAAATTATAATGCTATAATCCAATTAACCGGCAAGTGCCGGTAAAATTTATAATATAAACATATAAATAGTTTCAATGTAATTAAGGAACTAAATATTAGTTAATGATAATATGTTGTACTAACGAGATAAACGAGCAGCTGTCTCGTTAAGCTCACGAGCTAGAATCCTAGTTTGGTTCAACTCATTGAAACTACGAGTTCGAGTCGAACCAAGCCGATCCAAGCAACTATCTTCAATTAAGCTCTCTTTTCTTTTCTTTCCACGTATAGATGGCCAAATGGGCCGCCCCGCCCGGCATGGCCTAGGCACGGCCGTGTCTGGGCTGAGGTCAGTTGGGCCGGTACGGCCTGACCTATACGTTGGGTCGTACTGTGCCAGCCCACGGGCTGCACACATGGCCCAAGCATAGCCCAAGCATGGCCCAATAAGACTTGGTCGTGCCGAAGACACGACAGCCTATCATGCTTCTCCACATAATAAGTCTAATTTTCCTCCCTCTACTCATTGGACTGTGTCTATATGGCTGAAAAATAAATCTATTTTGTATTCCTTCTCTCTTTGGGTCTTACCCTATATGATTCATTAAGTCTATTTACGGTCCCTCTACTATTTTTCTTCCATCGTGCCGGGTCGTGCTGGCCCACCGTGCCGAGGGAGCAGCCCAGACACAGCACGACTGTCGGGCCGTGCCGTGCTTAGGCCGGGCCAAATTGCCGTGTCTTGGGCCAGGCTGTCGGGCCTCGGACCATATGGCCATCTATACTTCCAGGTACCCCCGATCGACTCCAGCAACTCTTATTTAGTACTTTTTGGAGGGTCCGAGTCCTGCCTAAATACACACGTTTAGACAATGGAATTCTGAACGCTGCATGCACTATATATATAGGCGAGTCCATCGATCAGAACGAATCCAATCTACGCACGGCCCGGCCGGAACAAATCTCCTCAAGCCGTACGACCACACGCACGTCGTCGTCGATCATCCATGGCGTCGTCGACGGCGGCAGCCGCTGCAGGCTTGTCTCTTGCGCCGGCCGCGCGCGTCTGGTCCTCCTCGCGCGCCACCCCCTCCGGCCGTCCGCCGTGCGGCGCCGGCCGTGTCGCCGTCCTCGCCACCGGCCGCACGGCGGCGCCGCGTCGTCGTCTCCTGCTACCACGATCATCGTCGTCGGCCATGCCAACGCGCGCGCACGCGCGCGCGCCATCCTGCGTCGCTAGCAGCAACGACCACAACCAGCACTCCAGCTCCTCCAGCGTGGAAGCCGACGAGAGGTTGGTGTCGTGGGCGGGGATGAGCGTCGACGAGCTCGCCGAGGTCAGGAAGCTGATGCCGCCGTGGCTCCCGAGCATTGAGGAGGTCATGGAGTTCGACACCAACGGACTTCAGCCCCGCCGCGATGCGGGCCAAGGTTTCTGCGCCAGTTGGGCGGAGGCANTTTTTCCCCTCTGGGGGGCGAACCTAGTCCTACTTTCTTTCCTCCAGACACTGGAAC